GAGTCCAACACAATGGAAATCAAGTTACTAGCTGAGGTAGTCCATTCATAATGGTAATTACAACAATGGAATATTCACATCTTCATGTACTTGTTTCAGTAAATTTCAACACTGGTGTTTAAACTGGTTTGAGTTACTGTAGCTATATTACCATGAATTATTTGGAAAGTAATTTGTTATTTCTTTAAAAATTATTTGTAAGGGTATGCTTTTTAAAAATTGATGTATTTAGGGGCCAGCAGGTACACAGAGGTTATGGTGGCTGGATCCTACATGACCAACTGCACAGTTTGAGTACTGTATGTGCTTGAACTCACACCAGGCATGTGTCCGTGCGTGCCCAAGATCCCGAGAGGAGAATGGAAGAGAAGGGACTGTGGCGTGGCCATCCCCCCGGGGGGGTGATTTCTTGCTTTCTGTCTCTCTGTCTTTCTGGTGAATGCATGCGCCCTATAGCAAAAATCTCTCCACAAAACAAAAGAAAAACATGCCAGGTATGTGTGTGTGAATGCCCAAAAGCCCAAGAGCAGAACGGAGGAGAAGGGATTGCCCCCCCATGCTAGGGAGGCTGATTTCTCACTTTCCCTATCTTGCCACCCCCTCTGCCCCATCTCTCTCCAGCAAGTGCACGCACTTTCTAGTAAAAACTAAAAAATGTAAGAAAATTTTTAAAAGTTTATATATTTATTTCTTCCATGGAGAGATCACGAGAGCAAGGAGTATGTGTGTGAGACAAAGAATGGGAAAGAAAGACAGACAGCAACTCCAGCAGGAACTTGGATTTGAGACCCAACCCCAGCCTTTGGTCAGGCCCGGAGCACGGGCAAGTAAGTGCAAGCCCGGCGTACTCAGAGAGGTCTCCATGTTTATAACGGGAACTCAACAATGTGTGACTACCTTGCAGAATGATCATTTTACCCCTGCACCACCACCTGGTTCCCTGTTATGGTATCTTGTAGGATTTTAATTCTTCAAGTATAATACTGTAGTTGGTGATTCAATAAACAGTAACAGTGATACTGAGATTTAGCAGACATTCAATAATAGAATGAAAGAGTGGATAGGTGGATAGAGGACCAACAGGTTTACCCATTTAATTCGGTGAGAAAATTATGTGCAGTGGGAGCTAAGGCCTACAGAAACACAGAATCACAAAGATGTAATCCTGATAGTTTAATGCTAGTAAATATCTTAATGAAGCAGCTGAAGCAATAAACAATCACTTACTAATAAACTTTCACGTATAAATATCCTTAGGCGTACAAACACATACATGTTTTAAAATGAAAATTAAGGCCCATATAATATTAAACAAGTGGTAGAATTCGGCAGGAGCTTAGAATCAGAGGGGACTCCTATATCTTCTCCCAGGAATCCCTCAAAACTCTGGGAGGACATGGGGTGACGACTGCAACGGGACAGGGTTCCAGGGAGTGTCATTCGACTCACACATAGGCTTCTTAACCAACATTTCAGTTACTCCAGGATTTCATTAGGCCAAGAGAAAAGAATCATGGTCTTGAGGGACTTCCGAGTGTAGAGTCACCGCCTTTTGAAAAACCTATGGCTCCTATCTAGGTAAGGCGGCTGACCTGCAAACCACAATTAAATCCAAAATCTTAAATAAAAATTAAACAAAATAATGTTTACTGATACGCATTTGCACGGTACTTCTGTTATTTTGTATTTGTAGAGAATGAAAATATAAAAATATTTCTTCCTCCCTGACACTAGTCAGCATGAAAATGAACTAATGTTAAAAGGTATCGAAAAGCTTTACTATAAAGAAATGTAGCAGAGAACATGAAATTCCTCGCGCATTTGCAGATTAGAAGACATAATTATGGATACAGAGTACTTTTAAAAACTTCTTATCTGGTGAATGTGTCACATGGGATAATGTAGACTCTAAAAATATCTTGCATAAATAAAAACTGTAAATCAAGAAAAACTCAGTAATTTTTGATGATCTGAGAAAACGGATAGGATATGGGCATATTACTGAAGAGAATAAATTATGGGGAGTTTTTCTACCAAAAGTTTATAGTCCTAGAAGAGAAGTCAAGTTAGAAAATTAAAAAATAGAAATATATATGTATATATGTACTTATGTTTATAATCATATATATATTTTTTTTTTTTTATTTTATTATCATCATAATCTTCTTTCTATTACACTAGATTACATATAACTTTACATTGACTTCCATTGCTTTTTCAAAATGGGATGCCATGCATGTCAGTCAATACAGAGTAATTATATATTTATATGTATGCATATTTGTGTTTTTATATTTAATATATTTATATATTAAATATGCTTAATATAGTATTATATATATACATTTACTTATTTAATCAGATGGCAACAGGAAAAGTAATATGTAATTAAAGACTCATTACAAAATTTATGAAATTTAATAACTTATAAACTTGAAGCAATTTGTGAGGGGAGTGACCAGTTACAGAAAGAGTCAGCCAACTCTGCATTGGGTCGTGAAGAAAGTCATGACCTATTTTTCTATGCAAAAATGCATCATGACTTTCCAGACAACTCAATCTATAATACATCTCTGAATAGAGAATTTTATTACTATTATCTGTTTGTCTAACATTAAACTCACAAGACACACAATCATGTACATACACAGACACACACGCACACACACACACACTGTTGAAATATTTAAATGAATTAAGCTAAAGTTTACCTCCTCAAACGAGTAATACCTTTTTTCTGAAAGAATGTCTACTACTGCTTTTAGAGAAAAGAAAACAGAAATTAGTTTTCTTTTTAATTACCGAGCGAACACATGTTGTAATTTAATTGTTCGTCTTCATGCTCTGGCAGTGAAGAAAATAAATAAATATTGAGAGAGTGAGAAGTAATTTTCCACAAATTGTCACCTGTTTGAATGACTGGTTCTGATCCCTTAGAGCATTTATTTGCCTACTGGATTGTCAGGGGAAATGACAACATGAGAGCTGCCATATGACAATGGCCATTTACATAGGCCAAGTAGAGTCAGGAGCCAAGTACTACATCCCACAGATCCCCACTGCTTCCTCCGGGTCCCCACAGGAGGAAGGGTGGGAGATCTGCAGAGAGGATAAGCACAACCTGATGCCTGTGATTCTAATTCGAAAAGCATTATTGCCCCGGCTTACATTACTTCCCTCTCTTACTACAAAACCAACGTGGCTTGGTCCGCGGCTTACATTATTCCCATCTCTGTTAAAAAACTAATGTGGTTTGGTCCCTTTATGGAAACTATACAGAAATAATGGGCAATGTGACATGCTGCCAGGAGCCCTGGACACCAAAAAACTGTTAGCGAAAACCCAAGTGTACTAGGCAAAAGGTAAAGGCACCAGTGTGGAGTTGAACTCAAACAATTTGTTGATGTGAGATGAGTTAAAAATCTGATGACGTGAGGGACCAGCAGTTAGCATAATGGCTATGTTGCTGGACTCCCATATAGTCGACCCGGTGGCTTAATACTCATGCTGGGCGTGTGTAAGTGCATGCATGCCCACGATCCCGAGAGGAGAATGGAGAAGGGATTGTGGCGTGGCCATACCCCCTGGGGGGTGATTTCTCGCTTTCTGTCTCTCTGTCTCTCTCTGTCTGGCGAGCGCACGCACCCTATAGCAAAAACCTCTCAAAAAAAAAAAATCTGATGAGGTGAAAAAACATATTGACATGATCTGATTTTTGTTTGAAACTGTTGGGAGGGCTGGATAATAAGATACAAAACAGGGCCATGGAGAGAAGGAAGGAAGGAAGGAAGGAAGGAAGGAAGGAAGGAAGGAAGGAAGGAAGGGAGGGAGGAAGGAAGGGAGGGAAGAATGATATAAAAGTTAAGTGTGAGACAAATAGCACACCCATCACTTATCTTGCAGGACTGAGACCTAGTCACTAGTCTGTCCTAAGGACTGCAGCCTCTAGGAGGAATACCACCTCGTGAAGATATACTAGGGACAGTCAAACATCAAGGGACAACATAAGGAAGAAAATCTTTGGATTACTGATGATACCCCTTCCACGTTAGTAACACTCACTATTTTTTTCCTTCTTTAACTTTTGCTCCATCCCTCCCTTTCTCCCTCCCTAAGTCTCTATGTCTGTCTCCTGACTGTTTCTCTATTAAGTCAAGGGTTTCATGGAGATTTTCTTGTTTCTGAGATTATGAGAGAGCCTTCAAAAAATATATGAAAAATGCATATTATGGAAAAACACATGGAGTTTTCTTTGCAAATTTTTTTGCGCCAAAATAAAATCATACTTTAATTCCATTATTATGTCCACAAAACTTTAAAGTCCTCTTGTATTTCACATCACTGCTAATGCTATGAAAAAGATAAAATTCTTTTCTATAATTACTTCCACATATTTTTGACATATGACCTTGGCTAATTAGATTCTTCATTAACAGAAAAGATTCAAGGTACAGATAAAAATACTCAGGAAATAATTTCCAAGTTACATAATCTAAAAAGGCAAATTTATGAGAAAGAACACCTTCCAAATGGTGTCACATTAAAATGAGCTTAGAAACCCCCTTACCATCAGAATGCCAAAGTGTGTGAAATGGTTACACAGGCAAATGGTCTCTCTCGCATTGGAATCATTGTGTACGGTACATCCCGATGTATTCCATCCTCCAAAACTCTCTGTAGGAAGCAACACCAAACAATGTGAAGATAGTAGCAGGTCAGTGTCTTCTCTCATAATGGATGAGACCATTTTTGAGAAAATTCATCTCTTCTGCCTTCCAGAGTTTATCTGTAAAATGTATCCCATTCTGAAGGCTACCTAAGTTTAGAGCCTAATTTAGATTTCTGGAATTATTGAATGTTCGTGATGGGTGGGAAGATAGTCAGCAATTTCAAATTGTGTTCTACCGAAGTGCCTTGGGGGTTCCACAAATGTTAGATTCAAGTTTAATTTTTTATTTTAGAGGCTTTTGCCTTACGGCGCGTGCACTCTCCAGAGAGAGAGACAGACAACAGTGAGAGGGAAAGTGAGAAGTCACTCCCCAAGGGAGATGGCCACAATCCCTTTCCTTCATTCTCCTCCAGGGATCTTGGGTATGCATGCACATGCACCTGGCGTGATTTTCAAACAATCAGGTCCATGATTAGCCACGTGGGAGTCCAGAGACATAACTGCTACACAACCTGCTGGTTCCCCCCATGTCCTTCTAATTTGAAGCCTGAAAGCTGCACTTCAAAGTGTATGCTTCCTGCAAACAAAACAATATCCTCAGATGTGTCCTACAAGAACGAGATCAAGTATATGGTTACATTAATCCAAAAGTGGTTAAAAATGTATACCATATTTTATAAGTAACTGAAACCAAAGAAGGTATTTGAATTTAAAAATAAGAGAAAACAGAGTCAACTCTGGCTATTTTATCTCACAGTAACTAAAACTTACAGCAATTAGAACTAACTTCCCCAGCTACTTCAGCTAAATTCTGCAGCTCAGTTACCTTTACACGTACATTGTGACTCATCTGTTTTAGGGCTGTAAACGGAAATGAGGGTGTCTAACAATGTTTAAAACTCAGTTGTTATCTATATTAAAACAGTCAGTATTTTAAAACTTACCGTTTTTGTTCAGATCCCAGAAGGCACAGATGGGAGTACTGTTTTTCTGTATTAACATAAGAATAAACATGTGAAATTTTGTTTAATATACCTCAACATCATATGATTTAAATATGGCCAAAGAGTAAAAGTGCTAAGGGCTTTACAAAGACATAGATGGGCTTTAGTCATGCCAATACAATCTGAAAATGCTAAGCATGTAAAGGATCTTCTGTTTTGTACAAACTGAAGTGAAAAGCAACTATAACTTCATGAGGAATCCTATTACCCATTTAATCACAGTTTACTATACATCTCACCACTTTCCATACCAATACCACCATTGTTCTCTGCATTTAGCGGTGCTCTTTACACTATAATTTCACACAACCCTTAAAATTCTCCTTCACGTATGACTGTGTACATAAGCAAATGGAACACGGGGACTTGAAGAAATATTTGGAAAGCCATTTTCATACCATCTTTAATTCACAATGGCCAAAAAATAGAGCCAACTCAGGTGTCCACCTTTGGAAGAACAGATAAACAAAATCTGGTGTATATGTGTAGACATACACACACACACACACACACACACACATATACACAATCAACATATTATTTTCTAGCTTTAAAAATGAAAAAATAAAAATTGAGACTGGCAGATAGCATGGTGGTTGGAGGTGCTGGATTTCCACATGGCTGACTGAAGTTTAAGTCCTGGACCTGGTAACTTGCTTTCTCTCTCTCTCTCTCTGTCTCTGTCTTGTCAATAATAATAATAATAAATCCTCCTTTGTGGATAAAGGACTAAAACAAAGGAGCCAAAAGGCAGAAGAAGGCAGTCCCAGAGGGTTGGAGACAGGAGCCCCAGTTTGGTGACTTAACTTCCAAGCCTTAACCTTCTCTGTCTACTTCCTGCCTGCCTTCCTGTTGTCTAATGAATGGCAGAATCACTACTAGGACTCTCTACAAAAGTGAGAAAAACCTATTCTTGGGACATCAGGACAGTAAGAAGCCTCATCCAATTGCATTAAATCAAAAGAAGATACCAAGGATAATGGAGAAAGAAAGGCAATGTTAGACAACTGCCATCCTCTCCAAAACAAGTCTAGCCTTCCCTGTTTCTTCCTTGACTCCTGGTTGCATTTATCTTTGCCTTTCTGGTATGGTAGCTGAGGCGCTGGACTCCCACATGGCCAACAGTGGTCTGAATCCTAGACCTGGCAGCTTGCTTTTTCACTTTTTGTCTCTCTCTCTCTCATCTCTCACTGGTGAGTGCATGTGCCCTGTAGCAAACTGAAAAATAATACTAATGATAAATAAAATTTAGTAAAAATACTGATTTAAAATAAATTTAAAAAAGAAACAATTGAAACCTCTAATGGCAGAAGTGTGCAACTGCATCTAATTTATTTAAAGCAATATATGTCTCTTCTCAAAAATGTAAGAGTTCAAAAAGAGTGAAAGTATAAATTTGTTTGAGTGAGAGAAATTTTAACATCAATGTGTAGTTGTTCCCCCCACCCCCTTGGAGAGGAAGGTGCAAGCGCTCGCCAGAAAGACAGGAGAGACAGAGAGATAGAAAGCGAGAAATCACCCTCCAGGGAGGATGGCCACGCCGGAATCCCTTCTCCTCCATTCTCCTCTTAGGATCTTGGGCACGCTCGCACATGCACCCAGTGTGAGTTTAAGCCACTGGGTCTGGGACTTGAACCGTGGTCGACTACATGGGAGTCCAGCGACATAGCCATTACGTTAACTGCTGGTCCCAATGTGTAGTTTTTTTCATTATACACATTTTCCAGGAACCTTTTGAGGGCCCCACGCAGTAGCCATTTTCTTGACTCTCTTCTTCTTGGTCATTGAGTCCCAGGCTAATCCCTGTATCTCTGCCCATTTATTGTGTCTTTAGAGAGCACTGCCTGGCTAGCTGTCCTCCCTTTCTGCAAAACTGCCTCTAACCTCACAAAAAAAAAAAAAAAAAAAAAAACTGCCTGTTACTTCATTTTTTTCTAAAGAATTATTTAATTTTATTTATTCGCTCACTTATTTTAATTTGACGAAAGAGAGAGAGAAAGAAAGAGAGAGAGAAAGCGAGAAAGCAATCCACCAGGTCTGGTACTTGAACTGTGGTCGACCATGTGGGAGTGTCTTATCACATAGGGGAAAATAAGGTCCCACAACCCTCTGAACTCACCTGCCTCTGTTCAACTGCCCCAGTTGCATTTTCTTACCTGAGGGCTTGTATGTTTGATTGTAATTCGGACAGGATCCTTTAGATCCTGGATAGTAATGTTTCCAATACTGCAGGCCATCACATAACTCACTAAGGTTCCATTTTGGTGCCCTACATTCTTTGAAAGGAAAATAAAGAATCGCGTGCATTAGTCAGAAGTACACACTTTTATTTTACATGGGTGCTCCAAAATAAGCAAACGGTCAGCAATTTTTACACTTAAGATCTTCAAGTCTAGAACATCCTGTTTATAACATCAAATTGCTGGCTTTCCTGAAGGAGTTCTGCTATTTCCTTTAGTATAATAAATACATCGAGGGTACATTAGAAGCCAATATTGGAAGGCAGTGTTCATAAAACCGCATTCTTGATTGTGGTGACTGATGTGAGCCAGTTAACATCTGAAACAATGCAAACTCATAAATAATATAAACTCATAAAGCTTGTGAAGCGATTAGATCATTTCCCTGCTCTAGAAAAGAGATGTGGTTTTCCTTTAGAGAAGTACGAAGGAAATATGGTCTGAAAAATAAAGGACAATTCATCGTTCACATCCATGCCAACAGCCTGACGTGTTTACTACCTTACATTTAACTGGAATTCTACTAAAGTCCCATTCAGAACTTCTCCTTTCTTCTCTGCTGTTATACTTGCCAGCACCTGTAGCTTCTCCTTCAGTGCTAATCAAATTAGTCAGTCTGTGCCACACAACGATCTGGTCCAAAGTCTCCTTCTCTAGCAAGTTTGTCTTTATTCTTTTCCCTTGTGTTTCTTATTGAACCTCCCAAATGTTCCTTTACATCACAGTTTACAAATCAGTTGTCTTCGAATAACGGCAGGATTTCTTAAATGCCAAGTAAAACTCAGTATCCGGAATATTGTTTTTTTTATTAATTTTATGTAGCCACCACTAGCTACAAAGTGGGCTGTTAGCTGGTACTTCGCAGTGTTTTACTAGAACATGCTCGTATATTGCACACTATGTGAGGGGAGTATCTTAGAGACGTAAAGTGTTTTTCCTTCTGTTGCAAGTGCACTTTAAAAACTGAGCATATGCCTCCCACTAATAGCTTTGATTGGAAGATGCCAAAGGAGAAGCAGTAAAAGATGCTGTGGAAAAGCCTTGCTTGCCACAATGACAGAGCCTTACAACTTGAAGAGTTACCCAAACCCTTCCCATTGAGCTAAACGTCTTCTGAACCAGAGCCCTCTGTACCATTCACGTTTTATGATACCTACTGCATTTCTTTATGGTTTTTAAAGGTGGCATGATGGTAAACCTCAAATTATAGTCATTTTAACAAATGCAGTAGTATGTGTTCACATAGTAGAAGGTCCTTCAGGATAAATTGCATGTTTTTATATAAAATACATAAACCATATTTAAATAAAGTATAAAATTTATATATAGCTTGTTCCTAAAACACTAGCCAATAACATTTTTGAATTTTGGAAATAATGACCATGAACAATTTCATGGCATTTCTTTTCCTACTTGGCCATTCCTCTAAATTTGACATAGAAAGTAGATCTATCAGACACCTCTACTGGCCCAAAGACTTCCATTTTCTCTTACATTGGCCATGTTTCTTGATATATGCTGGTATCTTTAATTTAATAGATAAGTTTCATTTTGAAAAAAGAGGCCAGCATGGCCAGCAGATGGTGTGGTGATTAAGGCACTGGACTCCCACATGGCTAACTATGGTTTAGGTCCTGGACCTGGTGGCTTGCTTTCTCACTTTCTTTCTCTTTCTGTTTTTCTCTGGTGAGTGCACAGGCACTCTAGAAAATTTAAAAATAATAATAATAAATAAAATAAAATGAATAATTTTTAAAAAAAGAGAGTTCAGCAAAATCGTTGTGGATCAGGTTGTACTTAGAGGCAACCAGAGGTCACCACCGTGTGCTGGCTGTGGACCTTCTAGCATTCAGAAATGATGCCAATGAAAATGATAATACGCGCTCAGCACAATGCCACCCTAGTCTGCGGATGTGTGAAGGTCAAAAGTCACTTGAAATACTAATGGGAAAACTGATTAAAGCCAAGAATGCTGCTCGTTATGTAAACAGTGCTTCC